TCTGAGGTTGTTTCCTTGGCCCCGGGGAAATGGAGAATGGTCATGTGCACACACAGCAGCTCTTCCGTCTGCATGACCTTACCTTTTCCTCTAACTCTTTTATTTGTCTTTTTTGGGCTTCAATTCTTTCTTCTAGCTCTTTAATTCTCTGTCAGATTTCAAATAAAAAGATATTTATTAACCAACCAAATACAGACGTACCCAGAAGATGCATTAGTTGGGGGGTATAAATTCTATGTGCTGTGCTTCTAGCAAGAATAACCGGGGTGTGRGGCTGTAGGTGAGTGCTCTGTGACTGTCACTGTGTGTGACAAAGGCAGGAAAGGCACGGTGCTCTGTGTGCAGGGTTATCCACGGCCAGGAAACTCCTGGAGCAGCTCCAGGAGTGGGGCTGTGCTCACAAGGTGCCCCCAAAGCCTGCCCCGTGCCCACCTGCTGTGCGTGCTGGACCAGCTCCATCCTTTCCCGCAGGATTTGGGCGTCCCTCTCCCGCAGCTCACTCATCACCTGCCGCTTCCATTGCTCCACGGCGCTCTTCAGCTTCTCCTTCTCCTCTTCTGAAAGAAGTTCGGAAATTTTGGCTCCAGCTTCTTGCTGCAGGGCATCATAGAGCATGGCTTCTAATTCCAGAATTTGCTAATCAAAAACAATATAAAGCTGTCAGCTCGAGCTTGTCCCTGGTCGGGTGAGGAGTTTGTGAGGAACGKCTGACCCTGAAAGGCAACAGGAGCGGTGGAGGGGTTGTGTGCTGAGCTTTCTGAATGGGACAGCCCCGAAAACTCCATCCAAAGGGAGAATACTGCAGATTGCCTTCATTCCATGGGGCACTGGAACTGGGACAGACTCTGGACCCAGCCCAGTCTGCCCCTCAGACATGTGGGACTCAGCTTCTCCTTCCTGGGATGGGAGATGGCCGTGGGGAGAGAAGGAAAAAGGAAGAAAAGCAAAGGAAGGGGGAAGGGAGAAGGGAAAAGGGAAAATGTAAAAAGGAAAGAGGCTCATAAAGGGCTCATTTTGTGAGTTACAGGTACTCTTTACATGCAGTTTTCAGTCTCTCATCCCCTTTCCCAGCTCTCCTGCCATCCAGCAGAGAACACGGCAGCTCTGTCCCTGCTCCTGCCAGAAGGAACAGCTCTCTGCTGTGTGTGTGCAGCATTTTGTACAACCAGTGGGAAATGCCTCCTGGGATGGCATTCCCAGCTCTTCCCTTCTTGGGAAGGCATTCCCAGCATTTCCTCTCTTGGGAAGGCATTCCCAGCATTTCTCCTCCTCTTGGGAAGGCATTCCCAGCA